CTCTCTCTCTCTCTCTCTCTCTCTCTCTCTCTCTCTCTCTCTCTCTCTCCATGTGCGTGTGTAAGTTTAATCGAGCCTGGTGGGTGTCTTCTCTTTCGACCTTTCGAGGTTTTTATTTGACGACGGCGTTAATCGACCTAATTCACCTCTACCGCGCCGCATCGTAGGGGCGTAAAATCCCACTGGCCACCGCAAAGGAATACTACATATTAATGGCATTGTAAGTCGACGTAATATTCAAAAAATATTGTGAGCATGGCGTTTTATGACTGCAATATTGTTGTATTATCTCCAATAATGTGAGCAATTGATGTAATACACACTAAACCCTTTTGTTCAGTGTTGTGCACAAGACTCGGGTATGGAAGCAAATCTATTGTGCCCGTTCGGCAAAGAGCACCAGCCCCTCCCCCCCCCCCCCCCCCCCCCCCCCACCTTCCGGAAAGCAACAGGCTCGCATGTCAGACACACATTAGCTGCAGCGCCACGCTACGCCGTCTGAGTCGCGCTTAGATCACGCCACCTATGTGCGACAGATTAATATACTGACCATTCATTGCCTCCTGGAAGCAGCCCCGGAAGTGAATTGTAAAGCGTCGAATTTGACGTGCCTTACATTTTTGCCACGCGTGTGCAGGCACCGGTGACATACGGTAAGGAGGGGTGGGGGAGGAGTAGCACAGGAGAGAGATCGGAGGGGTGGGGTCGAGGGAGAGAGGTCGATGCAGCAAATTGCCACTAAACGATACCCGACGCCGTGCCACGCAGTGATCATGATTGCGGACACGTGCACTTGCGCACGAGGTCGTTGGGGGTCAAGATTATTTACCGGTGGGGAGCACTTCCGGTTCTGTCCGTGTCAAACTGGTTGCTGCCGGGGCAGCATGGGGAGCTTCGCATGCGGTGTCATTCACCGGGCCGATACTGGATTGTGTTGTTCACAAACAGCGCATTCCGAACACCAGTTCGAAAAATTTCAACAGAGAAATGAATCACCCGCGAGGGCGAGGGACACCTTTGAGGTATACTTCATTCTTCAAGGCGATTAAACAACATTTCAACGTCACTTTGAAAATACAATCAGAACTATTTAAAAGGCCAGTTCGTACTGCCATTTTTTAATGTTTCCTCATTTTAAAGTCAAAGACGATATCATTTCACTGTTTGTGAGCTTAAGTTTATAGAGTTGTCAACCTATGAAATGTGGATGCAACGTGGATCCACGTGGGTTTCACGCCCCTTTCCACTATATACCCGTAGAAGAACGTGATACATAAATCAACATTTCGATGTACCGATGGTCAATGTATTGATTTCTCTTTTTTTTCACATCTGCTGGAGCTTTCCCAGTCGGACGTTTTACCCGCCCGTGTAGCTCTGCTGTTTGAGGGGGCAGTCGAAGGTGATGCCTCTGCCGTAATAGGGGGGCCTCCCGCTCCCCTCCGGCCTGGCGCCGTCCGCCGCCCCAGACTGCTCCGGACATACATTATGCATGTCCGACTGCCCGGCCCCCCGGCCCGGCCTGGTCCAGCAGCGGCGGCACCTCTGCTGCGGGGGCACCGCGGGCCAGGGCAAGTGCTGCGCAAACACACTTGGGCAGCAGGGAAGCGGCAGCGTTAGTCGAGCAGAAGGAAGGTTTTTATCCTTGCGAGTGCTTGGCTTTGTGCATACTTGAAAATGAGCGCTGAGAGGGGGCGCATGACTTTTTTGTGGTCACGTGTGTGCTAGAGAGATAGAGAGGGGGAGCA